GGTGGGGGTGCCAATAAGTATGACTTCAGTCTTGTCAGGATTTAAGAAAAAAAATAGTTTTCACTTTTTAAATATTTTTTTTTGTAAATTGGGAGGAAGGGAGAGCAGGAGAAGTAAAGTTCCACTTTAATTTGGTGCCCATTCTCTCAAATAAGCGTATTGGTTTATTAATGTGGCACACACCTTTCCATCCTCATGTCATCGCTGAAGAAGTGCTTAGACTTTATTTCTGTTTCAATATATTTTTATTGAAAGTATATAACATGTGAATTTTTTATCATTTTCAATAGGCATCAAAAGTGTCGGTCAATAGTCTTACAATACAACATAACAATCTCATTTAAACCGGAGCTCCACCCAAAAGGGGAAGTTCTGCTTTAAGGACTGCTCCCCTGCTCCCCATTAAGGATTGGCACCTTTGAGGGGCGAGGGGGAGCGGGTACCCAAATTTGACAGGTACCTGCTCCCACTTCCAGTCCGATCACCTAGGAGACCAGAAGAGGAAGGTGTCCTTCCTCCCTGTAGTCTTTTGGGACACGTAACAGGTCCCAGAAGACTACAGGACCATTCATGAAGCACAGCGCTACTTGCGCATGCGCAGTGGGTACCCGGCTGTGTAGCCGCAAGCTGTCACAGCCTGGTGCCCACACTGAAAATTCCGGACTCCTGGAATACAGGACAGTCGGTGAAACGGGCTGCGGGGGGGACACACAGCGGGACTGAGGGACAGGTAAGTGGCTGTGTTTTAAAAGTCAGCAGCTACAGTTTTCGTAGCTGGTGACTTTTATTTTTTGTCAGGGTGAGTGGAACTCCACTTTGAATTCCAGCATAAGATCATGTAAAATTTCAGTCCATTGGGTAAAACACTCTTACAAAACCCTGCTAACTAGGGTACAGAAATTACAATGTGTCTGTACATTATACACCTAGCATCAAGATACAAAGAGCATCACTAGGTCAGTATCCGATGGACTTTAGTTAAATGGCCCTTGGTGGAGATACAGTATGTACTTTGCTACAGCACCTGCTTACACTTTCCCTTTTCCAGGAATGTATACAATGGGAGCAGGGGCGGACTGACAACTCATGGGGTCCCCGGGCAATAGGGGATCATGGGGTCCCTGTGTCCTTGCCCAAACTCAAAAAAGCCTATGGAAAAGGTACCAGGGGCATCTCATGGGGCCCCCTACTGACCTCGGGCAGTGCCCAAGTTTCCAAATGGTCAGTCCGCCCCTGAATGGGAGCATTACACATGCACATGCATTCTGGTGCAAATAAGAATGTTGGTTCCACTCTAAAATTCAGTTGAATTAATTTTATTGAAGTTTCATGTAGTGTGCTGAAAATCATGGAAATGGCCATACAATCTGCTTACACAACATAAAACATAAAGCACAACTTGAACTTTGAGCCCTTTTTGATGAGGGGGAATTCTGCTGTCTCTAAGTCTGTTGAAAGGAGAATTAAAAGTGCACGTAGTCCTTGGGCAATAAGAAGAGGTCTAGGTGATCATTACAGCACAGAAGAGATTTGTCCCTGCCTTTCATCTACGTTGCACTTCTGTGTTAATAGGCAGCTTATCCTTGTTCACTGGAGCATCCCTGACAATAATCTCAGTCTTCTGCATGCAGCAGATAATTGCAGGGCATACGCCTAATGTTTGGCTAAAATTCGCTCACTCTGTAATTTCTACTGCGTGACACAGAGATTGAAACACTTGTCCTTTGAAAGAATTAGGTTTACAATTACTTATCTTTGTATCTTCTGAATTGTCATTGCATGGATCCCACTGACACCAGAGGTTTCTTATCACGCACAGGAGCAATGATAGAACAATGTTCTTTAGCATCTGATGCAGGGTAAAGGTTGTTCCTGGTTTCTTTATTATTCTTAATTCTTCTTCATCCAACTCTAATTATGCAAGAATTAAAGTGGCTACAAAGGAAGAACATTTTTACCTTAATGCTTTCCCTGTATTAATGTGAAAAATGTCCTTCTAGAAGTATCGCCCCATCACGCATTGCGCTGTGTGTCCATCTGCACCATCACTGGTCTCTCTCTCTCTTCTCACAGGACAGACAGGCAGCAGTGGGAACCATTGGCTCCTGCTGCTGCCAATCATTCCTGTGAGCAGAGAGTAGGGGCAGGGCCATGCCACACTGTGTGTGTGTGTCTATAGACACACATGGCGTGGCTCAGGAGAGAGCCAGCAGGTGCACCCTATAGCAAGTGGCTTACTATGGTTGCACACTGAGAAGAGGAGGAGCCAGGAGCTCCAGCAGGGGACCCCATAAGAGGAGGATCAGAGCAGCTCTGTTTATTATTTAAAGTGTTACTAAACCCAGGAAACTGCATTCACTATATCTGGTCTCCCACAGTACACACAACATGGAAGTGCAATTATTTTAGTAAATATAAACTGCTAAATACCTTTTCTCATCAGCAGTCAGAGCAGTCTTGTGACTTCTATCAGTGTCCAGTTGAGCACTGGTTAGAGCTTGTAGGAGTTTTCATTCTGCTATAGGAAGATGCAAAACCCCTGACCTCTGTCTGGACAGTGCTGATTGGCCATGTGCTGATCACATGCATTCTCCCAAGAGAAAAAAAAAAAACCTCACTAGCAATACACACTAAACTGAGCATGTGCATTGTGGCTACGGGTTGAGTCTGTCTTAACAGGTGGACATCTGAACAAGAGGAGGAGCAGAGAAAACAGGACCAAACAGCCTTTTTACACAATGCAGAGGATTAACCCCTTAGGTTCCACAGTGAGTATAACAAGCATGCTTTACTGCATATACAGACTGATTTTACTGTTGTGGGCAGGGGCAGACTGACAACTTATGGGGCCCCCGGGCAATAGGGTATCATGGGGCCCTGTGCCCTTGCCTCAAAAAAGCCTATGAAAAAGGTACCAGGGGCATCTCATGGGGCCCCCTACTGACCCCAGGCCCTCGGGCAGTGCCCAAGTTCCCAAATGGTCAGTCCGCCCCTGGTTGTGGGTTTTGTAACACTTTAAAGGGAAAAAAGAGCTTTTACAAACATTTTAAGTAACCAAAGCTGACTTGTCAAAGGCATACTGTATTTCTCACTGAGAATGCTGTGCAGTGAGGAATGTGCCTATGCTCACACAAACATGGCAAGTTTTAGGACTCTCTTATTCACTTGGCCACTGGTGGTAATAACAATATAAAGATTTTTTGGTACTCACTGTAAAATCTTTTCATAGAATTTATTGAGAAACACAGGATCCAGAGATATCTGGGTTATATATAGCTGCCTACAGGGGGGATTTGGACACTTTGGACACTAAAAAAAACACTGACCAGCCTGGTATAACACAGAGAGACAGACAGAGAGATGGAAGTATAATGTCCTGGTCGAGGGGAAAATGCTGAATCCACCTTAGACCTCATGCACACTGCTGCTCATAAACTTGAGTTCAAGAGCTTTTGGCATTTTTTGCCAAAGTCCCTGAACTCAACTCAATAAAAGCCTATGTGTCCACACACAGGCTTTTATCAGAGTTTTACAGAAGCAGAGTTTAGGGTGAAGTAAAAGTCTCTTTTCTAAATCTGGGTTCAGGAGAGGACCGTTTTGGCCAAAAAACCGCTAAACGTGGCAAAAACGCGAGTAAAATGCACCTAAGAACTAACTATGTTTAGCAAGGGGGCGTTTATTCATTTCAATGGCAAGCACTCTGGCCAAAGAAATGAATAAATGTCCAAGCACTAAACATGGTTAAACACGTATTTGTGCTGCGTTTAGCGTTTTTCTGCTGCCAGCAGAAAAATGTTCCAGTATACTCTGAGCCTTAAGGAAAGAAGCTTTAGGTCTCAACACTACCTTGTCTTTATGTAAGACAGGAGAAGGTTCTTTACCAGACAAGGCCACCAGTTCAACCCATACAAAAGTCTTATTCATAGAATGGGATGCTGGCGGCCACAGGAACAAGATGGCAAGCACCAAGATTTGACCCATGATAGTAATCAGTAATTGATAATATATATATATTTTTCTCATGAATGTAAAGATACCGATGTGGAATGCAAAAAGTAACATATATTTATTTACTTTATGTGTGCCACCGCCATCTACTGGCTCAAATAGGGAACTACATCACTGGACAGCAAATTTCATGGCTACTCAATTCTGGTAAGATTTGTCCTATAAATACAATTGAGATATGATTTCATCTAAACATTGCCTGATATGACATCTGCCACATCTCAGCCTATCCATTACCCATTTCTGAATAAATGGTTATCTAGAAAAAACATGTAGTGGCAAAGGTATGACATATCCAACCATATTAGTCAAATTACCTTTATTTGAAAACTATTATCTTGTGCTAAGTTTCAGGTTGTGTACAAGATAGCACTTGAAATTATAGCATACAAGGCTGCACATTTGTCAAAGCTGGAGCAGCTCTGCATGGCTACCAATCAGCTTTTATATTACATTTTTAAAGCTTAAAGTTTTACTAAACCCAGGACCCTGCATTCACACTATATCTGGTCTCACACAGTACACACAACATGGAAATGCAATTATTTTTGGAAATATAAACTGCTAAATACCTTTTCTCATCAGCAGTTAGAGCAGTCCAGTCTGGTGACTTCTATCATTGTCCAACAGAGCACATGTTAGAGCTTGTAGGATGAGTTTTAATTCTGCTCTAGGATACAGGACCCCTGACCTCTGTCTGGACAGTGCTGATTGGCCCTGTGCTGATCACATGCACTCTCCCAAGAAAAGAAAAACTCTAGCAATACACACTAAACTGAGCACTTGCAGAAGGACAATGGGTTAAGTCTGTCTTATCAGCGTTGACATTTGAACAAGAGGAGGGGCCGAGAAGTCAGGATCAAACAGCCTTTTTACACAATGCAGATGATTTACCCCTTAGGTTCCACAGTGAGTATAACTAGCATGATTTACTGCATATACAGACTGATTTTACTGTTGTGGGTTTAGTAACACTCTAAAGTGTCACTAAACCCAGGACCCTGCATTCACTCTATCTGGTCTCCCACAGTATGCAGAGCATGGAAGTGCAATTATTTGAGTAAATATAAACTGTTAAATAGCTTGTCGCATCAGCAGTATAGCTTGTAGGAGGAGTTTGCATTCTTCTCTAAGAGGATGCTAGACCCCTGACCTCTGTCTGGACAGTGCTGATTGGAACTGTGCTGATCACATGCACTCTCCCAAGAAAAAAAAAAAATGCTCTAGCAATACACAACAGGTTGAGCATGTGCAGAATGACTCCACACAATATGTCTTATCAGAAGATAAGAGGGCGACACTGGAAAAAAGGGATCATTATTTTAATTCATTATTATTGTTTATTATTTTTCATTTATTTTCCTCCCTCATTAACTTTCATTATATTTTTTTTATCCAAGATGTCTTCATTTATAAGCTCTATTGTCCATCTGTCAATTGGTAGTGCTCATTATAGTTCCCTATATATACACATATCCTTCCCATTACTGCATCAGCCTATGCTTGAGAAGGGAGCGCGCCTGCCCTCTATTGGCCTCGTGCATGCTCTGAAACACCTATCTTCCGAGACACACACACACACTGGCCAGCTTTCGCCATCTACAGTCTCCCCTAGCGCTGCCCACGGCATACTCAGCGAGGACTTGGACATCATCTTGACACTCCACTATACCGATGAGCTTCTTACACTTTTATCATGTGAATGTTTTTTCATTGTTTCTGAATAAATGTCCTTTATACTGCACTTAGAGGCGCTTTTCTTCTTCCTTTGTGTCTTCACCTAGAGCCTGCTACAGCCTTGAGCTTGCCCTAGTGCTATGTGGACTTACACACATTGAACTTTATTATATATTTTTACATTGTTCTTTGGCATTATGACTTGGGGAATTTGTTTGCGCTGATATTTCGGTTCTTTGTCTTTAGCCTCATCTTCAAGATGAACTGATGGGTGGAAATCTCCCCCCGTCAATCAACTGGCACAGCCACTACTGTCCAGTGAAATTCGGACATTGGACAATTGAATGACTAGGAACAATATTCAGTTTGGACTGCTATTCAGTTGCTGTAACCAGGGTGACTGCTGCCATCCAGTGGTCACTGGTGATCAGTGAGCATAATGATACAGAGATACTGTAACTAACTCTAGATCAGCAATGGGCAAACTACGGCCCGCGGGCCGTATACGGCCCGGCGGACCTTTTAATCCGGCCCGCGGAGCTAGGCTCCCGCTAGGCTCCTCTCACAGTCCGCCCTGTTTCCTATGAGGATCTGTCCCCCCTCGACGTATCTGCGCATGTGCCGGAGATCGCCGATCGGCTGCTAATGCCTGAAACTGGCACATGCGCAGATACGTCGAGGGGGACAGATCCTCATAGGAGACAGATTTTCATGCTACACCGAACGGCGCGGGGAACAAGAGGAACAAGAGGAACGCGCGGAGCAAAGGTAAGTGAATTGACACAGGGGGGACTTGGGGACTTAATATGGGGGATGAATTAATATGGGGAATGAATTACTATAGGGGGGATGAATTACTATGGGGGATGAATTACTATGGGGGATGAATTACTATGGGGGATGAATTACTATATGGGGGATGAATTACTATATGGGGGATGAATTACTATATGGGGGATGAATTACTATATGGGGGATGAATTACTATGGGGGATGAATTACTATGGGGGATGAATTACTATATGGGGGATGAATTACTATGGGGGATGAATTACTATATGGGGGATGAATTACTATATGGGGGATGAATTACTATATGGGGGATTAATTACTATGTGGGGGATGAATTACTATATGGGGGATGAATTACTATATGGGGGATGAATTACTATGGGGGATGAATTACTATATGGGGGATTAATTACTATGCTTACTATGGGGGAATATTACTATACTTACTATGGATGACACATACACATCATTCATCTACTCTTGGTCCGGCCCCCGGGTCCAATATATGAACCCATTGCGGCCCTCAAGTCAAAAAGTTTGCCCACCCCTGCTCTAGATATACTTTTTAATGAATATACAGTACTTTTTATCCCCAAAAAGTGGAAGCTATGAGGCTTTCCAAATATAAAGTGTCAACTTTTCTTTTTTTTTATGAGTAACAATTTTTATTAAAGATTTTCACAAAAATACAAAACTTTTGTACAACACTCTGCAATACACATCACACAATAGTGACTCTGGGACTATAGGGATTTTAGGACAAAAGGGACTCCAGAACAGTTGCACAGTCTATGGAACAGCAGCACAGTCACTGGAACAGTAATACAGTCTTTGGTACAGTAGCAAAGTGTCCGGTAGGCAGCCCTACTCATTCTCTTCCCTCTGTACAGTACGACAGGGGCGTATTTACCACAAGGCATTTGCCTAGGGCAGCATTTTTTAGGGGACAGCACTGCCCCCTGGAAGAAGGAACATATGCAGTATAGGGACCAGGTGGGATCCAAGAGAGGCTGCAGGTAGCTTGATGGTGTATGCAGAGCCCAACTGTCGTTCCCGGGATGTCCAGAGCCGTAAAGGTGAGTGTCTTTCTCTCTGTAGCCAGGGGGTGGGTGTTAGCGGAAGGCTGTCTTGGGTAGGGGCAATGATGGGTCAGGGGTGTTGTTGGTCACTGTCAGGCTTTCTCCATGGTAGGGGAGAGGAGTTTTGGTGTTGATTGGAGTCAGGCTTTCCATGCCGGGGAAGAGGGGCATCTGATTTCTGTGTTGACTAGGGCAGCACAAAACCTAAATACACCACTGCAGTACCACATCCCTAATGCTCTCCTCCCAGCCACCGGTACAAAATATCTCAGCTGTCCCTTCTATGTGGGGCTCTTTGGCAACTCAGCCTGCTCTGGCTTATCCAGGCCCTTGGTACACTCTGCACACCTAGGCACCCTGCTCCTGGATCCTAGCCAAACTACTCCATCTCTCAATAGTGGTGGGTGGACTTATCTTTGGTTGCAGCAAGGGGCCAATTGGAGTCCTCCTAGCCCTATTGCTATGGACGGCCTCCTCTTTGGCTTCATTGGCAGTCAGTCAGTCCTAGTCTGCAGCAGTAGCCTGTAGGGTGGCTCATGATTAGCTAGATATTGGCACCAAACTGTGCCAACCCCTACCCTTCTTCTTGGATAGGACTACTATTCCACTTGCTGCTATAACTTTGCAAGATTTCTGTGACATCTGACATCACATTGACATACTAACAGAACTCTTTGGCGCGGAATGCCATACACAGGAGTAGACATTTTCTAGTTGTCATTTAGGTGCAAAATACCAGCACATAATTTTGTAAGCCATTTTCCTTTTGCACCTCCTCTCCTTGGGAGCACCATAGAGTTGAGACCACTTCTCCCATGTATACTAAGTCCACAGCATTCAGCTTCCATCACCGAGTATAATCAAGGTGCCCTTATTAGTATACTAGTCTTTCCCAATGTCCCTCCTACAGCGCTGCCTAGCCATCCTCACTCCCAGATAGCACACTCCCTCCCCAGGTGTCACCAGTACTCACATCAGAAGACTCTGGCCTAACCTAAAAAGGCCTATTGCACCCCACTGACAACCTGCAGCAGACCATAAAGAGTCAGGGACTATAGCTGTTCCTTCTAAGTTCTGTACCACCTCACCTGCAATGTCAGCCCTGCAAAAGGCCCTATAATTCAGCTCAGCAGGAGGCTACATCCTATCAGCTCTTACTTAGAGATGAGCGAAGTATTCAAAAATTCGATTCGGCTGATTCGGCGAATTCGAGGAATAAAATTGATTCGAGGCGAATATATTCGCTGCGAATTTAACGTATAAAAAAGGGTGTTTCTAGGCTTCAGAGAGCCTTTATATTAGTGCAGAACACTGTACCTTTAATTTAAATGCCCTTGGAGTCTGCTGGGGAAGAGAAATAATACTGTCAGTCAGTATGACATGCAGATGAGTGCCGTCGATCTTAGAATCACCGCACACTTCACTCATTTGGGCAGTCACGGGCCAAAACCAGAGTGTGGAGCCACAGTGTGGTGGTGGAGGCAGCAGCAATGGGAGGCCATACAGCACCCTATGACAAAATGGAACCCACCAGCAGTGTGAGGAGACCTGAAAGTGGCACATGGCAGAGTGTGGCGATGGAGACAGCAGCAATGGGAGGCCGTACAGGGACCCATGACACACTCTGGACCTGGCAGCAGCATGAGGAGGCGGTACAGCGGCCCATGACAGATTACGGGCCTGGCAGCAGCATGAGGAGTCGGTACGGGGGCCCATGGCAGATTACGGGCCTGGCAGCAGCAATGGGAGGCCATACAGCACCCTATGACAAAATGGAACCCACCAGCAGTGTGAGAAGGCCTGAAAGTGGCACATGGCAGAGTGTGGCGATGGAGACAGCAGCAATGGGAGGCCGTACAGGGACCCATGACACACTCTGGACCTGGCAGCAGCATGAGGAGGCGGTATAGGGGCCCATGACAGATTACGGACCTGGCAGCGGCATGAGGAGGCGGTACAGGGGCCCATGGCAGATTACGGGCCTGGCAGCAGCAATGGGAGGCCCGTAATCTGCCAGCACCCTATGACAAAATGGAACCCACCAGCAGTGTGAGGAGACCTGAAAGTGGCACATGGCAGAGTGTGGCGATGGAGACAGCAGCAATGGGAGGCCGTACAGGGACCCATGAGACACTCTGGACCTGGCAGCAGCATGAGGAGGCGGTACAGGGGCCCATGACAGATTACGGGCCTGGCAGCAGCATGAGGAGTCGGTACGGGGGCCCATGGCAGATTACGGGCCTGGCAGCAGCAATGGGAGGCCCGTAATCTGCCAGCACCCTATGACAAAATGCAACCCACCAGCAGTGTGAGGAGACCTGAAAGTGGCACATGGCAGAGTGTGGCGATGGAGACAGCAGCAATGGGAGGCCGTACAGGGACCCATGACACACTCTGGACCTGGCAGCAGCATGAGGAGGCGGTACAGGGGCCCATGACAGATTACGGGCCTGGCAGCAGCATGAGGAGTCGGTACGGGGGCCCATGGCAGATTACGGGCCTGGCAGCAGCAATGGGAGGCCCGTAATCTGCCAGCCAGCACCCTATGACAAAATGGAACCCACCAGCAGTGTGAGGAGACCTGAAAGTGGCACATGGCAGAGTGTGGCGATGGAGACAGCAGCAGCAATGGGAGGCCGTACAGGGACCCATGACACACTCTGGACCTGGCAGCAGCAAGAGGAGGCGGTACAGGGGCCATGGCAGATTACAGAGTGGCGAAGCGTAAGCAGCTTAAATTGAAGGCCATACAGAGGCCTATGTTAAAAATAATAACATGTTTGGGGCATGATTCATGGCGGATTTAGTCAGTTGTGTCAGGAACTGGTGGTTTGAAATCCAGACTAATCCACGCCTGATTCATTTTCACAAACATGAGTCTCTCCACACTTTGGGTGGACAGTCGTGTCCTCCGCGGAGTTACAATACCTCCTGCCGCACTAAACACGCGCTCCGATGCCACGCTACTGGCCGGGCATGACAGCCTTTCAAGGGCAAATTCAGCTAGTTGGGGCCAAAGGTCAAGTTTCGTTGCCCAGTAGTCAAGGGGATTGTCTACCTCGGTTGGCAGGGTGCTGTCCAAGTAGGCCCAAGCCTGTTGTTTGAGGTCCTGCTCCAGGTCCACCTGATGCTGCTGCTGCTGCGGCTGGTTAGTAGTTTCCTCACTGCGCTGGTGAAGGAAGCTACTCATCATCGACTGCAGACTGAGGCAGCCGCTGCTGGTGGAGCTGCCACTGCTCCTACCACCCCACCCCTCCCCTGCTGCCATGGCAGCGGAACGCGAGCGCACAGGGCCCACAGTGTCTGAGGATGGACGTTGGAGCACAAAGGCAGAGACCAACTGACTACATAGGTGGTTTTTATAGTACGTTATTTTGGCCTCCCTCTCAGCAGGTGTGAAAAAGGCCACCATTTTTGAACGGTAGCGAGGGTCCAACAAGGTGGACAGCCAAAAGTCATCCCTCTGTCTGATGGTTATTATTCGGCTGTCGCTACGCAAGCAAGCGAGCATGCTATGGGCCATTTGTGCCAAGGAATGCGAGGGACTCCCTGCCTCCATCTCCACAGCATACTGCCACAGTGCGTCTGGGTCCTCTGTCTCCTCTTCCTCCTCCTAAACCAGATGCTCCTGCTCCTCCACTCCTGTCCGCTGAGTGGAAAAAAAAAACCACCCATTTCACTCAATAATTCCTGAGCACCAATGTCCTCCTCTACCTCCTCCTCTTCTTCCTGTCCTGCCCCCACAGGGGTCATGTGGCGTTGAGATCTGTGCGCCACGTCTACCGCACCCTGACCAGCCATTGTTAACAGCATTTGTTCCAGGACGTGCAACAGAGGAATGACGTCGTTCATCCCATAGTCCTGCCGACTCACGAATAGCGTGGCCTCCTCAAAGGGCCTGAGCAAGCGCAGGTGTCACGCATGAGCTGCCAATGGCTGACATCTAAGTTACACAGGGAGTACCTTTATCCGCTTTTAACATCAGGAAATCTGTGATGGCCTTTCGCTGTTCGTAAAGGCGGTCTAAAATATGTAGGGTTGAATTCCACCTTGTTGCAACGTCACAGCATGAGGAGTCGGTACGGGGGCCCATGGCAGATTACGGGCCTGGCAGCAGCAATGGGAGGCCCGTAATCTGCCAGCACCCTATGACAAAAAATGTAACACACCCAGCAGTGTGAGGAGATCTGAAAGTGGCACATGGCAGAGTGTGGTGCGATGGAGACAGCAGCAATGGGACGCCGTACAGGGACCCATGAGAGACTCTGGACTGGCAGCAGCATGAGGAGGCGGTATAGGGGCCCATGGCAGATTAGGGGCCTGGCAGCAGCAATGCTATGGGAGGCCCGTAATCTGCCAGCACCCTATGTCAAAAAATGTAACACACCAGCAGTGTGAGGAGACCTGAAAGTGGCACATGGCAGAGTGTGGCGATGGAGACAGCAGCAATGGGACGCCGTACAGGGACCCATGAGAGACTCTGGACTTGGCAGCAGCATGAGGAGGCGGTATAGGGGCCCATGGCAGATTAGGGGCCTGGCAGCAGCTATGGGAGGCCCGTAATCTGCCAGCACCCTATGTCAAAAAATTGAACACACCAGCAGTGTGAGGAGACCTGAAAGTGGCACATGGCATGATGAGACACTGTGGACCTGGCAGCAGCATGCAGAGAGGCGGTACAGGGGCCCATGGCAGATTAGGGGCCTGGCAGCAGCTATGGGAGGCCCGTAATCTGCCAGCACCCTATGTCAAAAAATTGAACATACCAGCAGTGTGTGAGGAGACCTGAAAGTGGCACATGGAAGAGTGTGGCGATGGAGACAGCAGCAATGGGAGGCCGTACAGGGACCCATGAGAGACTCTGGACCTGGCAGCAGCATGAGGAGGCGGTATAGGGGCCCATGGCAGATTAGGGGCCTGGCAGCAGCTATGGGAGGCCCGTAATCTGCCAGCACCCTATGTCAAAAAATTGAACACACCAGCAGTGTGTGAGGAGACCTGAAAGTGGCACATGGCAGAGTGTGGCGATGGAGACAGCAGCAATGGGAGGCCGTACAGGGACCCATGAGAGACTCTGGACCTGGCAGCAGCATGAGGAGGCGGTATAGGGGCCCATGGCAGATTAGGGGCCTGGCAGCAGCTATAGGAGGCCCGTAATCTGCCAGCACCCTATGACAAAAAATGGAACACACCAGCAGTGTGAGGAGACCTGAAAGTGGCACATGGCATGAGACACCCAATGTGGACCTGGCAGCAGCATGAGGAGGCGGTATAGGGGCCCATGGCAGATTAGGGCCTGGCAGCAGCTATGGGAGGCCCGTAATCTGCCAGCACCCTATGACAAAAAATGGAACACACCAGCAGTGTGTGAGGGAGACCTGAAAGTGGCACATGGCAGAGAGTGGGCGATGGAGACAGCAGCAATGGGAGGCCGTACAGGGACCCATGAGAGACTCTGGACCTGGCAGCAGCATGAGGAGGCGGTATAGGGGCCCATGGCAGATTAGGGGCCTGGCAGCAGCTATGGAGGCCCGTAATCTGCCAGCACCCTATGACAAAAAAATGGAACACACCAGCGGTGTGAGGAGACCTGAAAGTGGCACATGGCATGAGACACTGTGGACCTGGCAGCAGCATGAGGAGGCGGTATATAGGCCCATGGCAGATTAGGGGCCTGGCAGCAGCTATGGGAGGCCCGTAATCTGCCAGCACCCTATTCAAAAAATTGAACACACCAGCAGTGTGTGAGGAGACCTGAAAGTGGCACATGGCAGAGTGTGGCGATGGAGACAGCAGCAATGGGAGGCCGTACAGGGACCCATGAGAGACTCTGGACTTGGCAGCAGCATGAGGAGGCGGTGATAGGGGCCCATGGCAGATTAGGGGCCTGGCAGCAGCTATAGGAGGCCCGTAAGCACCCTGCCAGCACCCCTATGTGGCAAAAAAATGGAACACACCAGCAGTGTGAGGAGACCTGAAAGTACAGGGCACATGGCATGAGACACACTGTGGACCTGGCAGCAGCATGAGGAGGCGGTACAGGGGCCCATGGCAGATTATGGCCTGGCAGCAGCTATGGGAGGCCCGTAATCTGCCAGCACCCTATGACAAAAAATGGAACACACCAGCAGTGTGAGGAGACCTGAAAGTGGCACATGTTTGGGGCATGATTCATGGCGGATTAGTCAGTTGTGTCAGGAACTGGTGGTTTGAAATCCAGACTAATCCACGCCTGATTCATTTTCACAAACGTGAGTCTCTCCACACTTTGGGTGGACAGTCGTGTCCTCCGCGGAGTTACAATACCTCCTGCCGCACTAAACACGCGCTCCGATGCCACGCTACTGGCCGGGCATGACAGCCTTTCAAGGGCAAATTCAGCTAGTTGGGGCCAAAGGTCAAGTTTTGTTGCCCAGTAGTCAAGGGGATTGTCTACCTCGGTTGGCAGGGTGCTGTCCAAGTAGGCCCAAGCCTGTTGTTTGAGGTCCTGCTCCAGGTCCACCTGATGCTGCTGCTGCTGCGGCTGGTTAGTAGTTTTCCTCACTGCGCTGGTGAAGAAAGCTACTCATCATCGACTGCAGACTGAGGCAGCCGCTGCTGGTGGAGCTGCCACTGCTCCTACCACCCCACCCCTCCCCTGCTGCCATGGCAGCGGAACGCGAGCGCACAGGGCCCACAGTGTCTGAGGATGGACGTTGGCGCACAAAGGCAGAGACCAACTGACTACATAGGTGGTTTTTATAGTACGTTATTTTGGCCTCCCTCTCAGCAGGTGTGAAAAAGGCCACCATTTTTGAACGGTAGCGAGGGTCCAACAAGGTGGACAGCCAAAAGTCATCCCTCTGTCTGATGGTTATTATTCGGCTGGCACTGTCGCTACGCAAGCAAGCGAGCATGCTATGGGCCATTTGTGCCAAGGAATGCGAGGGACTCCCTGCCTCCATCTCCACAGCATACTGCCACGGTGCGTCTGGGTCCTCTGTCTCCTCCTCCTCCTCCTCTACCAGATGCTCCTGCTCCTCCACTCCTGTCCGCTGAGTGGAAAAACCACCCATTTCACTCAATAATTCCTGAGCACAAATGTCCTCCTCTACCTCCTCCTCTTCTTCCTGTCCTGCCCCCACAGGGGTCATGTGGCGTTGAGATCTGTGCGCCA